ATTCCAAGGCTTTGTTGTATCCTATGTTGTTTTGTCTTAAATGTTGTGAATCAACTCGCAATTTTATAAACAAGCGTCAGCCAAATCTATTTCCAACCAATATGATTGATTTGTATACTCATACTGAATGTATTAACTTGGACCATCACAAATGTAAATTACAGTAAAGTATAGTAAAATATATTATGATTAATTTGCTTGGGTAAAAATATGAAAGATATTAATAGCAATTAATAGCTGTATATGTTTATGACAATTTTGACCTGGGAGCCTCGCTCTCATGAATCGTGAGCCAAACAACTTGCGTGATTTACTAATGAGAGCGAGGCTGCAAGACAAAAAAGTATGTGTGACGTAATTATCGAAAGGGTGTATTCACAATACTCGTTTTCCCTGGTTTACTTATAGTATGTCAGTTACGATATTGTTCTGCCACACCTTCGCAAACATATAAAGTGTTGCACCATTAGAATGATTAAAACGTTTTATAACTTTTTTTTACTTTTGCACTTTCATGTACGAGGAGTTTGTACTTTGTATTATAAAAACGCATCGTAAAATTGCATCGTAAAACGTACTACGCTCTACAGGATTTGTACATGATTGCAAACCTATGACTGTGTATTAAAAGTTGGGCTACATTTTACTGATATTTTCGGCGAGAGCAAATAAATGGTTTGATCGTCGCTTACATGGTCGAGATCAGTTATACACTCGGTACCTAATTATAACTGGTCGATACCACTAATTCATGTTTGTTTACGTTCGTACTTGTCTCGTCAGTTACATATTAGGCTAGGTCATATCGTATCCTTTCGAACCAGCATGCTTTTATTATTCGCCCAAGGCCAAGAAAATTACATTTAATTATGTTCTTAGTTTGATAACAGATAAAACTAAAAGCGGTAAATTTAGAATTTGTTTTAAAACGGAATCAGTCATTAAAGCGGATTGTTTTATCAAGCTATCGCTCTTGGTCTAAAGCTTTAAAAGTAATTACTATATTCCCGTTACACATTTTACAATGTACAAAAATCTAAACCACTACTGACAGTAAATCATACATTTTCATCAATTCAATGCACGATATTCAAAATACACATCCCTAGAAACTCGTTCTTTGCATTTCACATACTTCAGCCTACCCTCCCACGGGACAAAGTGAGTTACGACGTCACGTGACCAGCCTGTACCAGGGTCTTGCTTGGGAGGGAAGCGGAAGTACAGTAGAGAGCCTGGCTTGCGAGGTTGGTTTTTAGTACAATCAGTCAACCAGAGTTGGGTCAAGGTAACTCTCAAACAGTACACACATGTGCAAGTTAAAACGAAATATATTTATACTTATTTCAAACCATTCAACTTGCTGACCGATAGTACTGTACATATATCAAAGAAACTGTAGTTTACTATTCTACTGCAAACGGCCAAATTGCAAAACGTCACCATGTATGTGGTTTATTTTATCACAGAAAAAGTTGCAATACAATCCAAGCATCATGCTTTGATACATCTTACCATGGGGGACAAAAGTGAATCGAATAATATCCGCTATAGCTTTATCCCCTATGTTGTGAACCAATGCAGCCGGAGATTTGAGGTCGGTAAAGCCGCCGAAGCTGGAAATGAAAAACCGCAGTTTCCACAAGCTCGATAAATTGCAGAAATGTTTTCTTGACTTTTTCCAATAAACTCATACATTGGCTAAGGTATGCTGTAACTTGACTGCTTGAAAGTAAGGGAACTGTGTGGTTGTTCCTCTCAAAATGAAGCAACACTAACTGTAAGAGAAAACAATATTTCTTTGTTGTCTTACCTTTATTCTTTAATCTCCACGTCTTAATAAATCTGGTACTTGGTGGCACGGCCTCCCCTTCTCCAATAGTTATATCTTGTAAAAACTCCATGTTTGGCAACTTCTCAACTGATTGAGAACTATTGAAATCATAATAAGCACCCACAGCTGCCTAAAACCAAATACAATAAAAAATGTTCAATTTTAAGGTATTGCATAGGTCGTAGGTTCGATTCCCACCGTGGCCACACTGCAAAAAATCAATTTCTTGTTTTAAGAAAATATTACTTATTTTAAGCACAAAATTACTTGTTTTAAGAAAATTTTACTTGTCCCGTGGGTAAGTAAAATATTATAGGTAAGAATCAGATTTCAAGAAAATTTTTCTTAAAATAAGAAAATTAATCTTGGTTAGAACAAAATTCTTGGTAAGAAAATTTTTCTAATTTTGTCCCGTGGGTAAGTAAAATTTTCTTATCAAGAATATTTTTCTTATTTCAAAAAAACGTTCTAGCAAAATTTTCTTATTTCTAGAAAAAAATTCTTAGTTTCCCAAGAATTATTTTCTGGTAATAAGAAAATTTTGCTAGAACGTTTTCTTGAAATAAGAAAAATAATCTTAATAAGAAAATTTTACTTACCCATGGGACAAAATTAGAAAAATTATCTTGAATTGAAATCCTGCTAAGAAAATTATTCTAGTTCGATCCGGTGTGCGTGGCTTTTAAGAATATTTTTCTTAAATGACAATATGAAACTAGAATAATAATCTTGGCATGATTTTTTGCTGTTGTCATCCTACAATATAAAAACAATTAAGAATGTTTAAAATAATATATTTACCAGCTATACATGAATAGGTTATTAAAGTAATTACTGATAGATAAATGTAAAAGTTCTCACACGTAGCAATATTGTTCAATTTCTTGAAAAGCCTTTACCATGTCAGACTGCTGAGTCTGGATGGGTAGTCTAAGTCGAGCAGGTACAGTAGAACAACGCCAGGAAGTAAAGATGGCTTTTACAGTTTCGCCATTCTCGAATGTTGCCAGTAGCTCCATGTCATGATCAGCCCTGATACAATATGTCATTGGGTCTCATTTGCAGCCAGGTAGTCAAGTCTGTGTCTCCTTCCTTTTGAGGAAAAAAAACCCCGCAAAAATAGTTTTGGTAACAACTACACAACCCTCATTAATTAACAGCTTATGTTTTCACTAACAAGCTCAGGGGTGGAAAAAATATTTTACTTTCTGGGACCGCAAAAAGTTCATTGAAAAATTTTCTGCAAATGATCAAGTAAATCGACACTCGGCCAATGTAACTGTGTGACACCTAATAAGTTGTCAAACTGGATGTCATGCTACATGTATATTTACAGAAAAAAAAAAATTTCAGTGCACTGAGAATCTTAAAATATAACATAAAGCTAATATAGATAACATGCATCAAGGATCTGATCCTAAAGTAAATACAGATGCAAAATTGGCACTGGGGGAGCACTATCAGGTGGATCCATGCTCTAGCTCCCAGAAAATTTTGAAATCAAGTGTCCCAGATTGGCTAAAAATGCATTTGCCATACAACAATTGTTACATCATTCTATAGTCTAATACATTTATACACTATTGCAAAACTATTAATCGCACTATTAAGATGGTTGCACTTATAATTGCATTTCTGAGGTCATGGTGTTAATTTTCCTCTGAATTTCTCCTTTTATCTGAATTATTACAATTTTTTCTTTCTTGGGGAAATATTTTCTGGGAACTCAAAAAAATTTCTGGGACCAATGGTCCTGTGGTCCGATACTTTTTCCACCCCTGAACAAGCTATCCCCTGGGGTTACAGATACCAAAAAAGCTAGGGCACTTTTAGGGGACACTATCAAGGAGATCATGCATGCTCCATTGCTCCCCCCAAAAAGTTTGTCCCAGATCAACTAAAAATGCATTTGCCATACAACATTTTTTACATCGTTCTATAGTCTAATACATTTATACACTATCGCACTATTAAGATGGTTACACTTATAATTGCATTTCTGAGGTCATGGTGTGAATTTTCCTCTGAATTTCTCTTTTTATTTGAATTATTACAATTTTTCTTTCTTGGGAAAATATTTTCTGGGAACTCAAAAAATTTTCTGGCACCAATGGTCCCGTGGTCTGATACTTTTTCCACCCCTGGTGC